GCCACAGAAGAGATGAGTGTTTGGGGTGGAAGTTGAAGTAGATGAACTTCTCTCAAAATAATAAACTTCCAAGAAAAATAAGGAATAAAATAGTTTAGATTTCCTACTGCTTACTACACAATGTTATACCTAAATCAGGTTACATTATTAATGGCTATTATCACAAATATTTGGAGAGGAGAAAAAGCAAAGTGATTTAACATGTGTGAAAAAATATTACAAGTAACTCCTTTAAAATTTAGTGAAGTGAGGATCACTGACAAGCATTTCCAAACATACTGTTTTTACAAAATATCATTTTTGTATTGTCTATTTCACAGGGGCACTATAGAGACAGGTTAAAGCAGTGCTATAACTTGCAGCAATCAGGATGCTTTTGGTTGCAAATAACAGAAAACTCAAAATTTAAAAATGTCTTTAATAATAAGGACATTTATTATCCTACGGAAGCAGCAGCCTAGAAGTAGGATGACAATTCCAGGGTAGTTTAGTTCAGAAGCTTATAAGGTGGTCAAGCGCCCAAGTTCTATCTTTCTGCTTTACTACTTTCAACAGAGTTTTTGTCCTCAGATTTGTCCCCTACTGGCTACAGTTCCAGATACAAGAGGGAGACACAAGACCAGCAGAAGCAGGAGGACTGTTTCCTCCCACATATATCTTTATAACAGCAGGAAAATCTTTCCCAGAAGTTTCCATATCCCAAACAGGCTTTCCCTCAAATGTCACAGCCAGAATGAGGGGACACGTCCATTGTTCACTGCCAGCCAAGCACTGACAAGAACGGAATCACCACCATTAGACTCAGCCGCCACCACTCGTGCTGAGGCTTTTCTATCCTGAAACACAGAGGAAGGCAAACTGAACCAGGGCTCTGTCAGAAAAAGAGAAAGAGGTGGGGAAATGCGATTAAAATTCTGAAGAAACATTTTCAGAAGAAAAAGAAAAATGGAAAAGGTTTTTGGTGTAATCACAAGTTAAAAAACAAATAAAAAAGGCTGATGATGTGTGATTTTGTACCATATAGTTCAGGCTTCATACTGCCCAAATAGTCCATGCCACTCATTTTCACACCTAATCACATGTTGCCTCATCATTCTCTGAATATTTCCTACTTTATTTCCTTAACTGGACTGTAAACCTCTTGAGGATTAGAAACCTAATTTTTTACATAATTTTCAGTGCTAACAATACAAGAAGCAGCGAACATCAACACTTATGAAAAGCTAACACTTATTTATTTTCTGTAATGAATAATTTCCCTTCTCATTAAATCCGGCAAATCGAATACAAACATCCATCTCTGCTTTTTTCCGAAACCCAACTAAAATGACAGTAAAGAACTTTAGAAGGAGTAAATTTACAAGAATAATGAGAATACAACAGAAGGTATTAGTCGACAAAATTTTGGAATGCAGAAAGAGTATAGACATGTTGCAACTGACTTAGCAGGCCAGAGAAAGCTGAAACCTAAGGCTGCAGAGGAGTGGATGGTGGGGGAGAGAGTCAATGAGAAGCAAGCCCACGGCAGAGCACTAATCCAGAAAGACTGAGTAACCCAAGGCACCAGCTACCAGGTAACGAGGCGGATGTGTATGTTGGGGCTAAAAGCAGAAGGATTAGTTGAAAATTTATGTAAGGAACAGGTATTCTATCAGATGCCCTCTCCATAGGCCCAAGCAACTGCCCCATCACCACAGAACATTCCAGAAGAGTATGTGGTGGTTCCCCATTAAAGTAGATCCCCAACTGTTTACCCCTCCAGGTAACAAGGCCCCTACTACTGTCCTACTACACATATACATACACACACACACACACACTCCTTCCAGTTAGCACTCTTAAATATCAACAGCCAGCCAAGGAAAGCCTATAATACTGTGTCAGTAGACTAACACAAAAAAAAGAAAGGGAGAAAGAAAGAGGAGGAGAAGAGAGAGAAATAAACAAAAGGAAAAGAAAGGAAGAAAAAAGGAATTCAGGGAAAACAGACAAGGAGGCAGAAGAAAACTTTTAAAAAAATAATACCACCATAGAGAGATATGAGACTGCATCCATGACACAAGAAGAGGAGGATTCTCTTTAAAAGAAAATAGAGAGAATTGATAGAAAAAAGAATACAGTTAGAAAAAATATGATTCTGGCTATTACATCTTAGTTGGAATGTGGATGTGATAGCTGGAGCTGGAGCTGCCATTTTACATGCAAAATAGAAACAAGCTGAGGATCAGAGAACAAGATTAAAAAAATGCCTGGGTCTTTCACGACTGTTGAGCTGCCACTGCAGCCCCAGACTGCTGCTATAAATAAAAGCAAAACCAAAAAACCTCTATCTTATTTAATACACTATTTTTGGGTTTTCTGCCGCTTGCACTTTAACCATATACTAATACAGTACATGCTACACAATAAGTTTTGCCCCAAACTCCTATAATATGAAACAAAAAAATTATGTCCTGGGGCTGGCCCCGTGGCCGAGTGGTTGAGTTCACGCGCTCCGCTGCAGGCGTCCCAGTGTTTCATTGATTCGGATCCTGGGCGCGGACATGGCACTGCTCGTCGAACCATGCTGGGGCGGCATCCCACATACCACAACTAGAAGAACCCACAACGAGAAATATACAACTATGTACTGGGGGGCTTTGGGGAGAAAAAGGAAAAAATAAAATCTTAAAAAAAAAAAAAAATCTTTAAAAAAAAAAAAATTATGTCCTAAGCTTGTTGTTCCTATTAACTATGCTTAAGTTGTTGTTCCTATTAACTATGCTTAAGTCCATCTTACATTAGCCAAGAAAGCTGAATGCTAACACTTCAAATGTCAGGATCACATTCTAATGATGTCTCTCACGTGTGATAGAATGTAATGCTGAAGGACCTATGGAATACAGGCCCAGGTGTCCGCAGCACACTACTCTCATTGTTTTCGGATGTTGCAGAATCACTCCACTAGGGCTTACCTTCAATTTCCCTTCAGTCTGACTTTCTTCTTTTAAATTCATATTGGATGACTGATGGCTAACATAATAAATATCTTATCTTTCCACACCCTTCCCCCAGGAAGAATATGCCTTTTTGAAAGGAAGGCACTGTCAGACACCTGGAGTCCAAACTTAGTTCTTAACTCTTTTTGTCCACAGTGAACACTGCAGCTTTTAAATGTTTTTACATTGCCATAAACTATTAAAATACGTTATTCAATCTTATATAGAAATAAAGTCACTTTCATAATTAAACTAGAAATCCTAGAGACAGCAGAACGATCAAGAATACAGAATAAAACAAAGATCAGTATGAGTTTAACTGCTTAGGTTCAGACAACATCACTTATATTGTAAATTATAATTATTCTGATATTGTCTAAAAATTTCACAGTAAGTAAAAATTCCACAAAATACTAAAGGAAAAATGTTCTGGCAGATAAAATTCAATACAACTCTGGAATAATTTTCTTATGAAGTCTGGCACAACTGATCAGATCAGTAATCGATCCCTTCCTATTCTCATCCACCTTTCTCCCAGGGTTCTGGCTTTTCCATTGATGACTGACTAGGTGGTACATGCAGCTAGGACCTGAGGGTGATGATGGTTGGCACTTTCATACAGAATAAATACAAGAAAGGGGAAATCTAATACATGCCAAACTTCAAAGGTAAAATAGAAAAGGAAAGACATAGTCTTAATAGACCATTTTCAGAATCAATTTCTCCTTTCAGAATCGATTCATCTGCCAAATTCTTGCCATCTTTGTAACTGAGCACTTCAATATGAGCTCAGACCTTATTAAACATCCCCCCTGAATATCAATCAAAAGTACAACTCTATTTCTATATTGTTATAGTGCTAAAAGGAACGAGTCCTCCTCCTTAATCAAAGCATGGAACCCTTTAATTTGTTTTTGCTCAAGACAAGAATAACCAGCTTACCAGACAACTCCTCCATCCTCGAAAGTTACAGTACTTATTGCTTATGAATAAGGAGAAAGAAATTAAAAGATGATGAAATATTCATCTTGAATTCTAGATACCTTTATATTTGCATTGAAATTTTCACCTTAAGATTCTTAATACCTACTTTCCATACCTTCTAAAAAGACTTAAATGCTAGGAAGACAGATGGTGTCCATGGGAGAAAAAGCTGACACTGTTCTTACTTGCATAAAGTACTCAGTTGAGGGTGATAAATATTGTTTATATTGAAAGGCTTAATGACCACTTCCAGCTACACTCCCCGCCCCCCGGAAAAACAATGGAGGGCCACACAGATTAAAATTATACTGAGGGAGGTCCTTTTGAAGGAGCAAATACGGCTGATCTGTCCCACAGCAAAGAAGACAATAAAACCTACCAAATCAAAACTCAGTGCTCAGTAAACCCGATGTTCTCATAAATGCCACAAGCACTCCACCAGACCCTGGTCAGTCCAGGTTCTATGCAACCTCCACTACAGTCCCTGAGACTAGTTCTTCCCTCCACTTATTTCCTAAGCTGACCTTTAGGCAATATCTCTCACTTGGGGCTTTCCTCAAAGAGAAGCAATAAAATTGGGAAATTCCCTCATATCTCTCACAGGACAATGATTTACCTCTTTAACCTATTTACACCTGAAGAGGACAGGCGTTACTGATAGACACACACTCAAAGTTCAAAAAACTTGCCATAGGGTGATGAAATTAAGGCAGGTTCCTCAGCCAAAGTTCACTGCCTTCACATTATGGTGCACCATCAAACTCTGTATTTTAATTACTAACTGCCTCATACGTTACTATGTACAACTAAAAAGGTGTAGATTCTATTCCTATGATCCTTCCTAAAAAAGGGTAATATGAGATGCATATTTGCAGAACAGAAAAACCAGATGAAAAAATGAATAATGTGGCTAAATCAATAGAGCTATATGTTTTAGCAAACCCTTGTCTCTAATATTCTAAATTTAGCTGAAAAGCATAACAAACATATATCAGAATATGTAACTGTTTCTTGTGGTAGAAAATGAAAAAAACTCACCTTCTCAATATTTATCTGGTGCTTTCTTAACCTCTCCAGGTCTGTTGGGATTACTATCTTAATGAATTTCTGGATAGCTGGCTCAAGACGGCGTAATTTCACTTTTTCTTCATCTTCAGACATCCTAAAAAAATGTTGTGTCACTTCTACTTGTAACAACTGTCTTCTCCACTCATACAGAAAAACCTAAAAGTGAAATATTTATTTAAGAATGTTTTTAATCAGTTTCCATTGTTTTTATTTTTATTTTTATTTTTATTTATTTTTTTTTATTTAAAGATTTTATTTTTTTCCTTTTTCTCCCCAAAGCCCCCCGGTACATAGTTGTGTATTCTTCGTTGTGGGTTCTTCTAGTTGTGGCATGTGGGACGCTGCCTCAGCGTGGTCTGACCAGTAGTGCCATGTCCGCGCCCAGGATTCGAACCAACGAAACACTGGGCCGCCTGCAGCGGAGCGCGCGAACTTAACCACTCGGCCACGGGGCCAGCCCCAGTTTCCATTGTTTTTAAAAGCCAACAACTAGGTAATTTTATAATTTATTCTAAATACATATTCAACTTAATGCTGAATTTGAGTGACTCGTTTTTTCTTTAAGAAACTTTATTTTAAAACCTTTTTCTCTATATAAAAGTAATGTATATTCACTTTAGAATATTTAGAAAATATGAAAAAGAGAATAAAATGAAATCAACAATCATCTCCTCTCCCTTTGTTAACTACTCTTTCCATTTTTTCCTCCCATCCCTACTCTTTCCATTTTGATGTATGTCTTTCCAGGTTTTTTTCTATATATGGATGTATGTATGTATTTAAATAACTTTTTTTAAAAGACTAGGAGTATACTGTCCAAGTTTTCATTTCCCAATGTAGCTTGGACATTAAATAAACTTTTAAAAAAAGGTGTCAAATGGCAAAATTGGAAGAAAAAATTTTCTTAACATTTCCACTTGTATCAAACTCCATTTCTAATGTCATCATAATTTAACTATGTAATTATACTTCAAATATATTATAACATAATATGTAACTCTTCTCATTGATGTCCTTTAAACTGCCTCTTCTCTCTCTTACAAAGTGCTTAGCACTGTCTACAACCAATACAAATAAGCAGTGACAGGGCTGGAGTAAGAACTCAGGATTCCTGAGAGCACAATCAAATGCTCTTTCTAATTCACCAGTAATTTTCTACCAGTGTTCCAGAAAGCTCAAAGGTATGCCTTTGGGGCTAGGGTAGGAGAGGGCAGGGGTTGACAAGTGAGCTGAGTAGGCTCCAGGACCCCATGCCTACTTCAATTAGAGAAAATTTACTTACATCTATTTCATAAATTTGAGCTTATTGGATTTTATATAAACAAGGGCTTCACTGCTTAACCAAATTTGAAAACCACTGCTTTACGCCATGCTTTCAGGCCATCTCATTAGTCACCTCTCCCACATTTAAAAAAAAAAAAAAATTAAGTTGACTATGTTAATCCTATTAGGTTATGGCATCTTAGACTAGGATCCAGTGAGATAGGAATTCACAAATAGATTCCATGGAGTCCCTGAATCTTTATGAAAAATTGTGAATGTATTTTTGAGTTATTTCAAAGGACAGAGTCCATTGCTTTCATGAGACCATCAAAGAGATCTATCACTCCAGAAGCATCAAGAACTATTATTCTAAATAATATTCTGTTTCTCTCCTTTCTTTCACAGTTGAAAATCTTGAAGTGCTGGTTATAAAGACTATCATATCTACTGGTAACTTGGTTTTTATGTTTGATTTAAGCTCAAAAGCAAAAAAGGAAAATCTCCAGACACCAAAAATAGAGTCCAATAGCTACAGTAGTGAGTGAGAACTGGAGATAAATGGAGACGTTCATTGCCAAAAGAGCCCACAAACCCAAGAATACAGGTAAATTCATAGCTAAGGGACTAGAGATAAAGTAATCTAAGAGGCAAATTAAAATAAGTACATACTAAAGTATACAAAAATATAAAGAATAGAATCTTTTTTAGAATTAGATAATATTATGAAACAGTAACAGGCCAATCTGAAAACAAACCAAGTAAAAATTCTAGAAATAAAAACCTCAAAAGATGGGTTAAACAGTAAATGATGTAGCTGAAGAGAGAATGACTGACTGGAAAATATCAGTCAGAACACAGAGAAATAAAGAGATGGAAAATATAAAAAGAAGATAAGGGACATAAAGGATAAAATGATAAGCCCAACAACAAATAGGAGTCTCATAAGGAAAGAATAAAGAAAGTGATGAAAAGGGTGAGAATTAAGATGTAAGACCTCGGGGGGCCGACCCTGTGGCTGAGTGGTTAAGTTCGTGCACTCTGCTTCAGCAGCCCAGGGTTTCACCAGTTCGGATCCTGGGTGCAGACATGGCATGGCTCATCAGGTCATGGTGAGGCAGTGGCCCACACAGCATACCCAGAGGCACTCACAACTAGAATATATAACTATGTACCAGGGGTGGGGGGTGTGCTTTGGGTCTATTTACATTTCCACTAGCAACATATCAAAACGTTCATTTATCCATACTCCAACTAATATTTAGTATTATAATTCTTCTTAGACATTTCACTGATAACAAAAATGGTGTCTCACTATTGTTTTATTTTGCATTCCTTAAATTACTAATGGGATTGATTTATTAGCCATTTGCATTTCTTCTCATGAACTGCCTGCTTGTGCATGCGTCTGATTTACTATAGAGGATGTCTTTTTCTTATTATATTTAACATATAATAGACTCTTCTAAATTATCAATTATTTGTCTAACATTAATGTTTATCACACTGCCTCTTGCATTTTCTTCTACTATGCAGATTACATACTGTAGGAAGATATCTTTATATCTACCACCATTTCTATCAAAATGTTTTTGAACATACCTAGTACCCAATAGATGCTGATGGAACTAAAATATTTCCTAACATGGCCCTCTTCATCTTCTTCCTAATCTTATCACTCTAGTCAAACAGCACAATATGCATAGCACATTACAACAGCGTCTTAATTGCCCTGCACTAGACTCTTTCCTCTCTCCAATTTTTTCCCACAGATTACCAGCAATTAATATATCTAAAACACCAATTGCAACATGCTCCTCCTCTGAACAAAAACTTCCAAGAGTCCTCTATTATTTGACCAAGAAAACACCTTGTTCATAAGTAGATGCACCCAATCTGTCTATCATCACCCATCTCTACTTTTGGCTTTGCGATGATGCTCCCTCTGTCTAGATGTTCTTTTATATCCCATCTGCCTCTAAGCTTTATGTGTCTTTTGAGACACAACTCAAATGATTCTGCCTTCTCTTCCACTAATCAGTTTATAGTACACTTAATAAACCCAAATTATTGAGTATTTGGCTTCTTTTCACTGTTCCCCTATGCTAACAGCTTTCTTTTTTGAGCTCCAAAAGCAATATTTCCGGGTCAGAGTTATGCATAACTGCCCGTCAGCTTTCTGCGCCCAAAGAAAACCTGCTGCCCCATCTCTCAGGGAAGATATTCTGACCCAAGAACCTTTCAAGAGAATTTTCTAACTCTTAGTCTCCTTCTGGCCAGTATTATTTTCTTCTCTCTACCATTTCCATTTTTATAAAATGCCCATAAAAAACTAGAGAATGTAACAGTTAAATAACTGCATAAATTGTGATGTTATTGAGACAGAAAGTTGTCCAGCAGTGATTCTGGCACAAAATAGCTCAAATAGCATATGTAAGCTGTTAAGGGAAGGTCTTAATTCAATATACAAAATATGGTTTAAAGGAGTGATTGAATAATGAGTGAAAGTGTATTTCTGCATTTCTTGATTTTTCAGTCAGAAAATTAGAACATATTTCTGATATAATTAAAACACAGGATAAAAATACATTTATATTAACATCACAACTGTGTAAAACATGCCTATGAAAAAGACAAAACAAACAAAAATGCCCCATTCCTCACACTTCTGTAGAGTTACTGTATTCCTCTTAAGAATTTTTTTAAAGCCCAATGGAATATTTGGGGTGATAGAATTGTTCTGTACCACCACTGTCAGTGGTGGTAGATACACAATTACACGCATTTGTCAAAACTCATAGAACTGTACCCTACAAAGAGTGAATTTTCATAAATCAAAAAACAAAAACAACAACAGGATGTAGGGGAACCCAAAAACTATAAAAAGTAAAATTAACTGTATTACAAATGAATAGCATAAACACACTGAAAGAAGTAGGGAAAGAAAATAACGAATCTAGGTAACTTTGGACAACAGTATTGTAACTACATACCACAAAGCCAAAGACAAAAAGAACTACACACAACTATAATCTAGTTAGTATCTTGTTTCTCAAAGGAGCATGGGTTAGAAACCCTGACACTACTTTATGTGTACATAGGATTGAACAAATAAGAAAACATTTTGTAGAACACGAAAGCCAGACTTCTCATTGTCAAAGAAAGAAGTTACAAATAAGGGGCAAGACTAGAGTGAACCCTGTGGTATTAGATTAGAATCAGAGGTATCAGAAAGAATTTTTGTTTTTTTAAAAAAAAAATATATAGACTATATATACAAATATGTGTATATATGTACATAAATATAAATCTTTGTGTATGTATGAATGTATGTATGTATGTATATATAGAGAGATATGTATATACATCTATATCTCCATGGAATATCTGGATGTGGGGAGAGAGAGATATATACTTTCCTAGCTGTCTTCTGCCAGGCATTAGAAGCAATGATACCCCAGTAGCAACGAGCACACCTAGCACCCAGATCTTGGTGTTTAAATACCACTCTCCAAAAAAAAGAAACCAGGCATCTTCGGCAAAGTGGTTGATTCCAGGGCCGGGGCAGGTAAAACACAAGATAAAGCCTGGAGCATCTTACGGTGCCATAAAGTAAGGAAGTTCTCAAAAAACGATGGGGCCTGTTAAGAGGGCACAAGAAGCAACCAGAAAAAAATCCCAATGGCCAAAGTTGGAACAATTTCAGAAATACAATAAATAACAAAAGTGTAGGATAATAACTAATAGAAAAATCAATATGAGTCCATACTGATACAAACAAATAACTGAATAAATAAATAAATGGGAAAAGGGGCAGCTCTTCCTTTTAATTCTCCAACTAATAAGTGAAGAAATGAGGGCAACAGAAAATCACCATTAGAACACAGTAATAATTACTGAAGGTAAGATCCATCAATGGAGGCTAAAATCAGCAAGTGAAGGTGTGAGGAGAAACAGGACATTTGCATAGCTTAAATGTTCTCCCTCAAGATATCGATTGTATGACAAAGGGAAAAACAGTAACTTTAGAGAATGCCAGCAGATACTACCTTAACCTAGAGGTCAAGAGTAATACCAAGTGTCATGCACCCCCTCACACGATGAACTGAGAAGGGCACCTACACTTCTGTGGTATCAACAAAAATGCATAACCTTAAGACCCAGCTGAGGGTCACTCTACAAAATCACTGACCAGGACTCTTCCAAAGTGTAAAGGTCATGAAAGACAGGAAAAGCCCGAGGAGCTGTCGCAGATTGGAGGAGACTGAGGAGCCAGGACAACTAAATGCAACGTGGGATCTCAGATTGGATGCTGGCACAGAAAAAGGACACTAGTCTAACAAATGACGAAATCTGAATAAAGTTGGCAGTTCAGTTAATAGTACCGTACTGATGTTAATATCTTACTTTTGATAATTAATATAAGGTGTTAACATTAAAGAAAGTTGCAGAGAACTCTGTATTACTTTCCTAACTTTTCCGTAATTGCAAAATTATTTCAAAATAAAGTCTTTTAGTATGTATGAACTGATGTTTCACATAAGACAGGACAAACATTTAGAAGTCCAAGAACTGCAAAAACACCGCAGTAACACTTGCGGGGGGGGGGGGGGAGGGGGAGCAGGTGCTTTACAAACTTTATCACTTAGTGCTAACAAGTATTACCACCTAGTACCATCATACTCATGTTTCCCATGAGGAAAAAGTCCTGGGAGGTTAACTACATTACTTGACATTATTTATAAGTGAAAAGCCCCATTTCTCAGAAAAAGTCCAAAATCGCCGGCAACCTCCCCGCCAAGTGATGAACACCTTCCATGGGCTCAGAGAGCCCACAGCGGCGGCCCGGAATTTCCTCAGGTAGGTCGGCCCGGGGCTCGGACTGGGGGGCGGGGTGCTCAATTCGGAAAGAGAAGTCAAGGCCCCTGGTCCTACCATATGGTCCCTCTGAGCCTCCGGTTCCGAATTCACAAGAGGAGGAAGGTGCACCTGGTACCTTCTCCGAACCACCGCCCGCCCCGTGTCCTGCCCTCACCACCCCCGAGCCTCGCCTCATCCCCCGCAGGGTCACCCGCCGCGCACCTGGGCCACCCACACCGAACGCCCCAGCCAGGGAAGGGATGCGCGGGCCCGTCTCGGGACCGAGACGCCGGCGACCCTGCCGACCGAGGCCCCCAGTGCGTCACGGGCAGGTGGGCCGCAGGAAACTTTTCCACCCCCCGACCCTGGGAGGCCACACGCCAGCCGCGTCAGTCGCCTCCCTGGACCCGCTGCAAACACCTCTTCCAAAACGAAACCGCCCCATCTGGGAGCCAGGAGGAGCCCCACGGCGGACGCACTTCCGACCTGACGTCCTGCGTCCCGCGGGACGCCTCTCCCGCGCGCCACGCCGGCGCCCGGGCCGCCGTGCCCGTCACGGCCGGACGCCCCCGAGGCGGCCTCCCGCAAGCCCCTTACCTCCGGCCGGGGCGCTGGAGGCCGGTCGGTGAGCAGGGCGCAGGCGCGGGCGCGGCGGGGCGGGGCGTCGCGATGGGCCGGCCGGGCGGGGCCACGCCCCCTCTCTCCCAGTCCCGGCCTCGCGGGGCGTGGCTGGCGCGGTGGGCAGCTGACTGACGCAGTTGCTGCTCCGAAGCGAGAACCTTGTTAAAAAGCGTTGTTGGTTTAGGTTGTGGGGTTACAACACTGAAGCCAGGAGGAAGGAGGCTCACAAACGCTTTTTAGGTCTGCTGTTGTGTTTTAAGTAAGAGACAATTCACATTTGTATAGGTCTCTACATTTTGCAAAGTTTTTCTGTCCGTTTTCGTCTGTTCTTCCAGGAATTTTCTTGGCGGGCTGGCCATGTGTTCTTAGCTCGTTACACATGCAGAAACTGAACTTCAGAAAGGTTGTGCTTTCTCCCTCTTGACCCCAAAAGCCCTGTGAGGTGGACAGGGCACAAGCCTTAACTGTAAGAGGCGCAGAAATTGAAACTCAGACAAGTTGTGATTTACCCACCAAGCTGGTGGAGCCCTCAATGCAAACGTCCTTATCCCAATTTTCTAGATAAGGACGCCGAGGCTCGACAAATAGCTTTAGATGACTCACTCGAGTTCAGCCAGTTAGTGACAGAGCTGGAACTCCAGCTGCGTTTCCTAATTTCCCTCCCTTGCTTTTCCAGTTACCGGCTGCTACAGATGAATAAGCTGATGGCTGCCTTTGAAGCCCTGTCCAGGTCACAGGTCCTCTTCTCTGGATGACCTGACTGCCAGACCCCCCTTTTTCATATGTGTTTGTGAATATTCAGATGACTGATTTAGAATGTATCCCCTGATGGTAATGTCCTCAGGAGTCATAACGATATTCAGGCCATAGCTAAGCAAACTCAGTTCTTAGGGTCTTCCACTGGGGTGGGAGTAGAGGTGGGAACGGTGGACCAAGGAAAGCTAGGGGCCTGTAAGAAAGCCTCGAAAGGCATTTTCTAAAATAAAGCACAAACTCTACTAAGCAATTTGGATTTTCTCTGTGGGTATAATGAATGTTGGTGTTTGTTTTACTCTAGGAATGGGGTGCTTATAAAATTTTAATTATAAGGAGAAAATGTATTAGGCGATACCATGGGAAAATGTTTTTTATGCAAGGGTCAGTTAAACAAGATCTTTTGAAGAAAAGGTCGTTGGAGTTAAGTCCTGAAAAAGTTACCTCAAGTACAACAGGGAGGTGTGGTGCTCAGGATTCTAAATTTGAACTTTGCCTTCTAGGTTATTATATGGATGTTTGCTATAAGCTGGGTGTGTCAAGGTAGCAGGATAGAACTTTTTAATCTAACAGTTGTTAGCTTGGTTTATAATCTTTAAATATTTAGACAGATGGTGTGTAGATCTCTTTTTGTACTCTTGGCCTGGCCCCTGAAGTTGTTAGGAGCAGGCCTGGTGCTACGAGCCAACATTTCCTGTGGCCCTAACTGAACCGGGAAGGCCAAACAAAACAGTAAGTGTGTGTGTGTGTGTGTGGATAGGTAGATAGACAAACATAGATGTAGATATAGATATAGATATAAAATTCTTCAGGTGTTATGATCGCTTGCTTGGAAAATCCAAAGGAATGAACTGAAACCAGTTCATTCATTAACGTGGCTAGAGAAATAGCTTTCCTAAACAATTGCCAATTTAAAAATGCCCGAGAAAAAAATCACATTCGAAAATAGCAGAATCGTGTTTGTGTTTATAAGGATTTACAGGACCTATTTGAAGAATTAAGAATAATAGCTAAATGGGGTGGGGGTGGAGGGAGGGATTACAAGGGGGAAGGGGAAACTTTGGGGGCGGTGCATATGTTCATTATCTTAATTGTGGTATTAGTTGCGTGGGCATATACAAATATTGAAACTTACCAAATTGTCCACTTCAAATATGTGTATATTGTATGTCAATTATACCTTCATAAAGCTGTTTCTTGAGGAAAGATATATTATTTACTGGGGTGCTGGAAATGTTCTATATATTGATCTGGTGTGATTACATACGTGAAAATTCATCAAGCTGTACACCTAAGATTTGTGTACTCTATGTAAGTTATCCCGCAATAAAAAGGAAAAATAAAGAGCTGGCAATTCTTGATTTAAAACAAACAAAACCTCTTAGTAAACAAAGAATAGATATTTCCTTGATATTATGTCTCTCTATTACCTCTGTCTCTGTAATAGTGGTGAAATAGCAGCGGTAATCCCTACCCTTAAAAAGCCATGAAAGAGATAGAAAGAGAAGGGAGGGAGGTAAGAAAGATTAGATGCACAGAAAAGAAACTGAGTTTGGAGCACATTCAAATTCCTGGTCCAGTTCATTCCTGAGGCTTAACTGCATCCCGGCATTTAGGTGTGGTTACACCCCAAAGCCTTCCAAACGCCCAACCCCTGCTTTTTCTTTAGTTGCTTAAACTAGCTCAGGGGAACTTCTACTACTTTCGGTTAAGAGAGTTCTAATGTTGTAGACACAAAATCCCATTTGTTTCTTTTATCTTATTTTAAACTTATATGTAGTATACACTGACTTTAGTACTTCCACCTCTCCACTTTCTGTTTTACCATCCACTGCCCTCTCACGCACGCACGCACGCACGCACCCATCACCAAACAATCAGTTCATCTACATTACAAACCAAACAGAGTAAACTCTGCAGGCACACAGTAACACTAGAATTCTCCACCCCTCAACCATTCAGTGCTTAGGAACCGGGTGATCACTATATATAGAAGAGCTTAAATGCCCAGACATCTGCCTATAGACTCCTCCCTCTGCTTTTTGTTCTTATAATTACCTTAATTATTTGCAAAACTCAGAGTGCCCAAAAATTATTGCATAAAGTGGTATTTATAAAACCATGTTTAATGGACCTTATGGGCAATTTAAACAATTTTCAAGGGCGTTTTTGATGCCGTATGTTTGCTTTATTCACTGACTTTAATTCCTCATACTGACACCCGTCACCATCTAACTCACCCTCAAAAGACACAACTTTACACCGTGCTTGCAATGAAAACACAGTAAACCTGCTCAGCATTACAATCCTATCAAATGTTATTTAAACTTTGGCAATCTACAAGGCATCTTGAATTTTGTAGTACCTTAGTTGTTGTTATTATCATGAATGTCAATTAATGTCACATGATAGATATATAGACATGCAAATTGAGAGATATTCCACATAGGCCGGACCTTGCTTTCTAACTTTATCTCCCATTACTCTACTTCACACATCCTCTGCTCTAACCAAATTGAACTAATATTCTTCATCCCAGTCCTTTCCTCAGTCCTATCCTGTGCCTTCCACCTGGAATATTCTCCACCAATGGCCCCTCCCTCTCTGCACGTCCAACTCCTACTCATCTTTCCATATTCACCCCAAATGTGACCTCTCCTAATATTTCTAGAATTTCTATATTTAATATCTCACTCCTCCAAACGCCTACCTTGTAATCTGATCTTTTTTTGACACATCACTGTCTATATTTTATTACAGTAATTTGGTATGTGTCTTGTTTCCCTGTCATGACATGAATAAAAAATGATATTTATAAAGCAAAACTAAGAGAGAAAGCTGCTCTCAGCCTCTGCCATTGGCCCTGTTACACTGGGAGCTGGGGACGGTAATGCCTCCACACATCTTGAACACAGTCAAGCACTGGGGTTGAGAAGCTGTCTTGTACCATCTCATTAGATTAGAAGCTCCCTGAGGGCAGGATCCATGTTTGCGTATCTCTGCATCCACCCATAGAGTCTAGTTCAATGCCTTGCACCTATGATAAGTGAATAATTGAATAAATGACAAAATGCTTTTTAAGTTTGCTTTTTACAGAGTTCCGAGGGCTTCCAGTTTCAGCTGTGACATGTAAAGAACTTGAAAGTCGTCACTCCTATCCTTACAACAAGAAAAAAGCTGAACAAACTTAAGATCGGTTACTTTTCTTGGACTCATCAAAGAATTGAGGTTGCAGGGCAAACTGCCCCCCAAAGCCTGGAGAGACAGGCAAATAGAGAGAATCTCAGCCAAGATGAGCTTACCTGAAACAGAAGCCCCTGGAGCCTTGAGCTAGTGGGAACAATTAAACAATTACTTCGACAAATTGTTGGAGGTGGAGTGTGGACTAGTGTTAGAGTGAGAAACTCCTGGGGCTGCAGTCTTAGGGGCCACCCCACACTTTCAGGTGTTTTACCTCCAGGAACCTCACCAGGCTCTCATGGTGAAGAACCAATAAAAAATCCTCTTGTTTCTGGCAGAGGAGGGGAAAATAAACCATTTTGACATATACCCAGAGCCTTCTTCATAACAAAGGCCTACTCAACAGGGGACAAGACTTAGCCAGAGACTTATTTGGGGGGCGGGGGGGGCCTTACCCAACTCCAGCCCATCCTATCGTTCCTGCCTCTCCTAAGGTGGAGAAAGGGCTGAGAGACACTTGTGAAGGCTGCAGCCCAAGGACACAGGCCCACTGAAAGACTGAAACTTCATCATAGGATTACAGGATGCTTCCCCTGCCCCTGCCCCTTATCAACACATCCACAGGGCTCTAGGATAATAGCAGTGGATAACAGCTGAAAGAGCTGCAAGATGCAGTCTATATAAGAAGGATTTCTTAGGAAAATCCAAAGACAACGAGGATGCTGGAGGAAATTGAAGCCTCTGCTACCTACTGGTACAGCAGACATTAAACACAGCCCAGCTCCTAGCCAGAGAAACCCTCACACTAAAAGCCTCAGT